CTTTCAAGCTGTGTAAGCCCCCACGCAGATCAGCTCCAGGCTTTACCTGTGCAGTCCCACGCATCCCTCACTTCTCCCCGCATCCCACGTTCCTGCCTGGCACCTGCCCAGTGGCAGTGAGGCGATGCAAGGAGTGGGGCTGCCTGCTTCTTTGGGGACCTGGTCAGGAGGTGCCTCCCCAGGAACTCATGGGCGGGGGCCAAGGTCAGGCAGCAGGAGGACTGGGTGGGACACGGAACATGACGCTCAGAACAGAGCCAGGCATGAGAGCATGTCATTTAGCAAAGTTCTTGGCAGTTGGCAAGGGCTTCCTATGGAGAACTGGGGCCTTGGAGGGCCAAAAGGGTTTCAGGGCACAGCAGGGGAAGCAGCATATGGTATAAAGCTTGGCACAGTGTGGGAGACACACTGAGGAGGAGCAGGGGAGACCTGCCAGCAGCAGCAGGAGCCCAGGCTGGTTTCCAAATCTGGAGTAGGGCAGCAGACCCAACCTGCTGGGCAGCAGCCTGGAGTGAGGCCCTGGCTTACTTCAATCCTGAGTGACCCTTCCTTAGGGCTGCAGGTGCCTGTTGCTGTCCTTTTGACTGTGTCCCCAGGCTTTTCCCATCATCAGCAAGTCCCTCCACTCTCTTAGCCTCTCTTGGTCCTTCCATCTGTGACTTTCAGCTACCCTCTGGAGCCACCAAAGGAGGGAAAGAGACAGGAGAGGAAACCCAGGTCTCCATTGCCAGGTAGCAGGGGGCAGGTGGAGAGGGCTACAGGATGGCTGGCCGGGTGCTCTTGCCCGGTTGGCAGAAAGGAATATGTGTGCTCCACACCTGCTCCCCCATTTTACAGATAAGGGCAATCATGACCCAGGAGGTGAAGTGACCTGCTCAATGCCGCGTGGCTGGGACATGCAGACCAGGGGCACATTTCCAGTTCCCTGCAGTTTTTAGCTTTTACCAGGCCCAAACTTGCTTGGGTCCCAAGAAAGAGCTCAGGCTGCAGAAGGATGAGACGGGGCAGGTGATGTCTGCACCTCCTCATTGGGAGCTCCTCTGAGGTTGCTAGCATTGTGCCCTTGCAGGCTCTCTTTACTGGACACTGGGCAGGGTCTCATAGAGAAGACAGTCAAGATCCAACCCCCACACCATGCTTGTCTGGTAGCCTCCTGTCACCTTCCACAGTTGGCTCCCACAGGAGAGAGGGACAGAGGAGTAAGCCTCCATGAGTAGAGGAAAGGGGCTGGGATGGTGAGTTTGGAAGATAATGGGCAGAGACTGGGACAGTCCCAGGCAGAGGGGAGGTAAACTGAGGCCTGGAGGCCGCAAAGTGCTGGGCATGATAAGGAAAGCCAGTGGTCAGGTGCATAGACCAGGGCTCCATCCTGGGGGCAGCTGGGGTACAGCAAGGAGTCTTGAGTAGGGCTGAGGACAGGAAAGGGAGCCTGGAGCAGTGGGCCCTCTAGACGTCTCCTGCCTCGCCTGGCAACTGCAATCGCTGATCACGCAGGAGTGACTTTGGGAAATCTCTTCCCTCCTTGGGCCTCAATTTCTTCTCCAGTCCAGCAGGTTGGGGACTCAAAGATTCCTTCCTGCTCTTATGCTCAGTATCTCTGCCTCTGCTACGCCTAGAGCCCATCTCTTCCTGAACCTCCCCCCACCCCCCACCCGCACAAAACATGCATACATGCACACAGACACACGCATGCACACACATGCAGACACACTGCTGAAGTCAGGGGGTCAATGGCCTGAAAGCAGCCAAGCTGGCTACCCGGTCTCCTCTCCAGAACAGAGACACCAGGAGAGGGGTTGGGAACAGACTTTGGAGTCAGATCCTGTTCCCACCTGGGCTGTGTCGCTGGGTCTCTGGTCCCTGGAGCCTGGCTCAGAGGAATGCTGGCTGCTCCAAATTGGGCCAGACCCTGGAGGCCAGACCTCAAAGGGCTTGGGCTCCATATCTCCTGGGTACCAGTAAGGCTGGCCTTGTGCAAGCTTGTTCCACACATCTGTGGACTCAACGACCCACAGCCTTTCTTCCATCTTCTCGGGAACCTCTCAGTCCCTAAGGCTAGTCAAAGTGGCAGATTGAGACATAGGGATGGGGAAGGGAAAGCCCAGATTCTGGTCCCAGGTTCTTCAGCTCAGGGCTTTTCTCTCTCTCTGGGCCCCACTGCAGAGTGGAGGGCGGGATTATGGACTGCAAGCCCACTCCTGCCCCACCCCACCCCAGTTTGCCACACCCCAGGCTGCAACACCTGCCCCATACGTAGCCCCAGGGTTTGGGATGGCAAAGGCAGTGTCCAGATCAGCCCTGGAACTAGCCTCAGCTGGTGACCTGTGTCTCTGAGTATCCTGTCCCCACTGGGACAGCAAGCAAAACTGTCCTTCCATTCTCACACCCATCCCAGCACGCCAGCAGCACCCACAAGTCCTCCTGGTCCTCCCCTGAATTCCTCTCTGACTTTCCTAGTCAAAGTCTCCTAGAAGGTAAAGTGACAGGGATCTACCTTTTATTTTCCATGAGTACAGGCCAAATTCAATAACCACACTGCTGTCTGGTGGGCACTGGCTATTTTGGACTTTATTAATGGCAGTAATGTCCTCTGTACGTCTGAACACAGCACCCAGATGTTCACAGCCAGTTCTTCCTCCCACCCTCAACACAGCCCCAGGAGGGAGAGCAGAGGGAGTCTCCCCTCTTCATCCACGGGTGCCAGGCCTTGCCCGGGTCACACAGCCAGTCAGTAGCAGCACCCAGGTTCTGAGCTCTGTGTCTTATGGTAACCTCCAACCCCTGCCTGCCTTTTCCCTTCCCCAGATTGACCTGTATGCAGGGGCACTCTTTGTGCACATCTGCCTGGGCTGGAACTTCTACCTCTCCACTGTCCTCACACTCGTCATCACTGCCCTGTACACCATTGCAGGTATGCTGCCCATGGCAGAGTGGGTCAGGGCTGCAAGGGGGACCTGTTTGCCAACCCACAGAGCAGCCCACGACCCCACCTGGTAGCTGACTCACTGGCCGGGACCTAGGCAACATGTGAAAGAGTGGAGTGGTCTGTACTGAGCCAGAGAGACGAGAATCAGGGAACTGGCTCTGCAGGTCCAGCTGTTTCAGCTCACAACTCAACCACCTATGAAAGGGCAGGGGGCCTGCAAGGGGACAGCTGCCCCACTGGGAGCTCTGGAGATTGCTGGTGTCCCTCCTCCCCTGAAGACCAGGCGCATCCTCCAGCAACCTCGTTCCCCTACAGGTGGCCTGGCCACTGTGATCTACACAGATGCCCTACAGACGATCATCATGGTGGTGGGTACCATCATCCTAGCAGTCAAAGGTGAGGGCTGGGGGCTGTGACCTGCGGTGGGGGAGGGCTGTCTCAGCATCCCACAGGGCTCCTGAGGTAAAGCCACTTGGCTGGCCTTCCTGGCTAATGGATGCTGCCTTCCTCCTGCCACGCTGCCCAGCTGTCACTATGGCACAGCGGGGCACTGACTCAGGAACACAGGGCCGCCACACCACCCTGGCTCAGGGCTGGAGTGAGGTGTGGCTGCTGGTGGGTGTGGAGGCACACAATTAGGTGACCACAGAACCACCCGGGTGTCTCCTCCAATTGTTTAAAATCATGTACACACTCCCAGGAGGTGATGCTGCCTCCTGCCAGACAAAGGCCAGGGTGGAAGAGTTTGGGAGGTTGACCACACCAGTCTGGGAACAGAGAAGAAAGCTTACAGAGCTGCCCTGGGAGGGAGGGAGGGAGAGGAAGAAAGAGAGAGAGCTCCTCATCCCAAGAAGCATGCATGCAGGGCTGGGAGGATCCCACAGGTGAACAGGGTTTTGAAAGGTAAGGCTGCTAGGCAACCTGCCTAGACTCAGGGTCTGACCTTTGGTTGAGCAATCTCTGACCCTGTGTAGCATTTGTTCATTCACTCTGAGCCTCACAGAGATTCCTGGGTTGAGCCCAGAGTCTAGCCTGGGCGCCATAGTGCAAACAACAGGCTTCCTTTTCCCGGGTCCTGCTGGGGACCAGGGCCCGGGGCATAGACAGGGGCTCTCCTACACTTGCTTCTGGGGTTAAGTCTCCAGAACCCACTGGAGGTGAGGGACCCAGATAGCCAGGCCAAGTCTGGATCAGAAGGGAGTGACAAAAATATGGCAAAGTCACAGACAGGCCAAGGCTTGGCCACACACAGCCGTGACCCTGAGGTAGACAGGACAGTGAGGGTACAGACGCGCTCTGACTTGAAAGACCCCTGGCTAGAGGCCCACCTGCCCAGAGGGCTATGTGGCCTTGGAGGCACCTCTACCTCTCTTCCCAGTGACCCAGCAGGGTGGGCCCAGGTCAGGACTTTAACACTTAAAATGCCTCCGGAGGGTTCTGGAACGCCAAGCAAAATACTTTTGCTTCCTTAGGTGGACAGTCCAGAGCTAGGCAGAACCCCCTGCTTGAGGCTAATAGGCCTCTAGAGATCAGCAGTGATTCCCTTTGGGCCAAGAGGACACTGTGGTGCCCACGTGCAAAATGCTCATTTAATAGAATTATTTTAAATACAATAAAATAGTTATTCAAATTCATCTTTTTCAAAAACCTCTACCTCACCCCACCTTCCCAAATACCAGGAAAGGCGAGGCGGGAAAAACTCCAGTTTGATGCATCAGAAGTTGTGAGATGAGACCAGCAGGAGTGGGGAGTTGGGGCCACCCAACCAAACTATCCCTGTCCCATCTAGCTTTTGGCCAGATCGGAGGTTATGGGCAGCTGGAGGCAGTGTACGCCCAGGCCATCCCCTCCAGGACAATCGCCAACACCACCTGTCACCTGCCGCGTGCAGACGCCATGCACATGTTCCGAGATCCCTACACGGGGGACCTTCCGTGGACCGGGATGACTTTCGGCCTGACCATCATAGCTACCTGGTACTGGTGTACTGACCAGGTGAGCACCAGCATCACCTGCCCACCCCACTGTCCTGCCCTCCAGGGTGGGCTTGGTGGGTACAGCCCGGGCCGGGCTGCTAGGGGTCCTTGTGGTCCCGGGGGGCCTGGGCCCTCCGCTTAGAGTCAGACGGGGCCCACTGGCTGCTACCCGACTTGGCCTTTAGGTGCTTCGACTGGGACAATTTGGAGTATGGGATTCCGAAGGGACTGGGATGCTCCTCGGTGGTTCTGCCATCAGCCAGGATGCCAGTATTTCGGGCCGGCCTTGTGTTCCTGGGATCTGGCAGCATGCGGGGTGTCGGGCCACCCTTGGGCTGCCATTGGTGTGGCCCTGCTGTGGCTGGGTTCACTTTCCTGGGAGAGCTCTGGGTGCCATCAGCAAGGCGGAACCGGGGTGCCCCTGGGGTCCTTGAGGTTGGGCCCCCAGGATGGTGCAACTGCTGGCCCTGGGAGAGAAAAGATACAGTGAGGAACTCCAGAGGACACACATGGCAGGGAGGGTCAATTGTCCTTTGCAAGAGACTCTCACCAGGCACGGCGAGGCCTGGGTTTACCTCCTGGCTCTGCCACTCACCAGTGGGTTTCCATGTTTTTCCTCAGTTTCCTCATCTGTAATATGTAATAATCCTGCGCTTTGTGGTTATAAGGCAAGTTCCTGCCACTCTTCCTTGCTGTCCCAGCCCCAATCCCCACTCTGTAATAGGGTGGAGGTGGCTGGAAAAAGCCTGAAAGGGGTTGAGTCTGCTGATGGTAGAGAGATGGCTATCAGCCACATCCCCCATCGTTAACTCTCCAGGTGACCCCAGATGAGCCACGTCCCCTTCTGAAAGCCAGGGCATCCCAAAGAGCCTGAGGCAGAAAATGGGCCTTGCAAAGAAGCAGAGCCTTGGTGGGCACAGGTCCAATGACCATCTGTGCCTCCAGCCCCAGCCCAATGGGCCCATCATGGGTTAAAGCAAACAGGCCACAGCTAGCCAAATGTGACAAATGTGACAGAGCGCACAGGCCTCCCCGTGAGGCAGGCCAGGCCAGCCCACACACAAGCCAAACAACTGAGGCCCAGGGACAGACCTGAGTGCACACTCAGGTTGGCAAGACACTTCTGGGGCTCCCAAGCAGGAGGGGCTCCATCAGTGTGTGCCTGAAGATCCTCTCTGGCTTCTAAATTGGGAAGTGATCCCAGCTGAAAGGTGTCAGAGGTGCTGGGAGGCTGGTTCTGTTTCACCGTCTGTAACATGTTGCCCTCAGTCAGGGTGGCATCCAGTGACTCCAGACCTCTGAGATCCCTACATGGGCTGAGATCCCCTGCCTGGGCCTTCCAGGGAACAGGTGACTCACAGGAGGGTCTGCCCAGCTCCCTTGGGAGGCCTGAGGCTCAGACCAGGAAGGTAAAAGGTGACAGTGGAGTGGAGGGTGTACTGGGGGTGTGGACGTCCCTCCCGTTTCCTCCCACGTGTTGTGGGCCTGGCATGGCCCAGGCATCTCTGAATGGAATACCATTCAGGAGACTTTCCCATAAAGGACAAGTGAGTCAGCACACATCCTGGCTTCAGAGTCAGGCTGAATGGGCCTCATTGCACAAGGGACTCTTAGGGCACCCAGGCACTCTATTGTGCATGCTGGAATGATGAACACTTGTTGTTGACTTTTCACTATCTTCAGGCTCATCCAGAATGAGCAGGTAGCAGTTTTGGAATCAGAAACAAATAGCAAGTGAGGCAGAGGGTCCAGAAGCAGAGCCGTGGCCTAGGCCCCTTCCCAGGGCTGTTTCTGTCTGAAATCAGAAGGCATACAGACAGGAATACCTCCAGTTTGGGAGGCTCTGGGCTTTCTGTCCCCTGCTAATTGTGAAACCAAGCATCTTCCTCTATTGGTCAGCAGCAGCCTCAACCACAGCCATGACCACAACCTTTTGTGGTCAGCTATGGCTGGCTGGTGACCACATGCTAAGGAAGCCTCAAACTCACTGAGAAAGGGAGCTGACATCTACTGAAGGCCTGTGGAGTCAGGCACAGGCTAGGTCTTCTGTATCAGTGGCCTCACTTGGTTGTGTAGCAGTCCTTGGGTCAGTGGCAGTAATCCATTTGCAGTTAGGAGGTGAAATGGCCAACCTTGGGGTGGCAGCATTGGCCTCTGCAAGGAGGAGGACAGGCTACCATCCTGGTGAGAGGCAGTGGCCTGCTGACACCAAGGGGAGGACCCTTGCTCAGCTGGGGAGGGAACTGATGGGCTTCACATCTCAGGGGTACTCTGAGCCTCAGGTGACACACATGTTCCAGGGCCAGCTGTCGTGAGCACAAATGTCCATCAACACTAGAAGATGACAGACACTCGGGGCTTAAGGGACGCTTCTTTCCCATGACAGTCATAGGACAGAGGGTCAGAGACTAGATAGAAACTCTCTAACACCTTCACTGTCCACATGGGAAAACTGAGGCACACAGTGAGGCAGACTTGTCTTGAGTTACAGCAAACTGGTAGAGAAACATGACAGAAATCAGCTGTCCCACATCCCAGATGCTGGAGCATAGGCAGGCTCTTCCTCTACAAGGAATGCCTTGGGAGAGCTGCACTTGAGTGGTCAGTGCACCCGAGGGGTTGGTGCGCCTGAGGAGCTCCCATTACACATGCTCAGAAAAGCAGCGAAAAATCACAGCTCATTTCTACTTCTGAGTTGCAGGCAGTGACTTAAGCTGTGGAACAGCACAGGGGAACTGCATTTCAGAGTTCTAGGATGTACAACTCTGTGAACATTCTGCAAACTGTTGGAAAGACCACTTTAAATGGGGTGGAGTATTAGAGTCTGTAAATTACCAGTTCTCCACCAGACAGGTGCTCTACCACTGGGCTACAACCTAGCTTCCCCTTGTTGGTTTGTTTATATATTTATTTATTGGTGGTACTGGAGTTTGAACTCAGGGCCTTGTGCTTACTAGGCAGGTGCTCTATCTCTTGTAAGCCCCGCCCCCAACCCCCATGGTTTTTTTAAAGTAGAATATGACAGCTGGGAGGGTTCTTGGATGTCACTGATCTGAATTATGGCTCACTCCTCCCTCCACTTTGCAGATCTGGAAACTGAGGTTGTTAGGATTTGCTGAAGGGCCTCAGAGAAGTTGGTGTCCTGGCAGCTTCTAGTGACCCTCACCACTGAGCTGCAAGCTTCCCTAACCCTAGGTCTTAGCGCTCCCACCTCTGCCTGTGACACACAGTTGGTGCCAACATCTGCTCCTGGTACATGCCTGAATGCTCCAGCCACTCCAGTGAGGGTTTCAGGGAGCTGTCTGATGCCACCCCACCCAGGGTCTTCTCCAGCAGACAAATGTCAGGGGATATTTGGGGATGGGGAGACAGTCCTGGAGCAAGTGTATCTGGCCTACTGAGCTGAGCTCTCCTGGCAGGTTGCAGTTAGGTGTTATCTAGGGTGGGCCTGGGGCTCCTGAGACCACGTGCTGTTCATGCCACTCCGAGGCCCATCAGAGAAAGATCCTGACACAGGCCTCTCCAGGGGCTGGACTCACTCCCTCTCTCCTCTGGCCCCTAGGTCATCGTCCAGCGTTCACTGTCTGCCCGGAACTTGAACCACGCCAAAGCGGGCTCCATCCTGGCCAGCTACCTCAAGATGCTGCCCATGGGCTTGATGATCATGCCGGGCATGATCAGCCGTGCGCTGTTCCCAGGTAGGACAGGCTCTGGGGCTAAGCCAGGCGGCAGGGCGCCCGGGGTGCTGAGGCCTTGTCCTGCAAAGGTCACTAGGAGGAGGCAACGGAGGGATGTGAGCTGTTGCCCAGTATGGGTCATGGAAGGGGACTAGTGCCTGGGGCCACAAAGGCATAGACAGAGACGTGGCTTGGTACAAGGCCCAGACAAGGGCCACTTACAGCTGTATGATCTTGAGGGTCACACAGGACCATCTCTGTGCCCCGCCGCTCCTTTGCTGCAAATGGATTGTACCACCCACCTGCAGGCAGTATTCTGTAACTGAGGCACTTGGGACCTATGGGTATGGAAACAGGCATTTCTTTAGGTTGCCTCGTGGAGACTCTGTGACCAAGACTCCTGAGCAATGGTAATGGCCAGCCAGTCACATGGCTTTGGGTGTTCTCACCCTTCTGTATTCATCAGCTCCTCTGTCTGTAACAAGAGGAGCCTTCAAGCCCAGGGACACAATGGCCCAGGGGACAGCAGATCTGGGCTGTCTGGCTGACTGGGGAGACTCCCATGATTCAGGGACAAGGAACGTGGACCCACCTGCGTCTCCCTGTCCACAGGGCGCTGGGCCTGTGTCCTCCTTGGTGTAGCCACCTCTTCTCTCCCCTGAACCTGGGCCCATGGAGGGCCACCCAGAGGACTACCAAAGGTCCCTCGGGTTATGTGGGGGGCACTCAGCTGTCGGCGGGGTGACTGGGCTGGCCCGTTGGCCATCTGTTCTGAGTGGCGCCTCCGGAGAGGGACTGCACGCTCCCTCACCTCGAAGTATTCATCTGACATGGATGAGGCCACTGAGGGCCGCCGAGGGCCAGGGCCACGGCCAGAGCTGCCTGAGAGGCTGTCCTGGTCACTGAGAGTCACATAGTCATCATCATCTTCCTCCTCCTCCCCATCCAGCCCATTGGGGAGCTCTGCTTCCAGACCATCAGGGTCATCCTGTGTTACAGACAGCTGCCGCTGGAGTGAGGTATGGCCTGGGCCTACCATCCTGGGCAGCACAAGGTCTGTCCCATTTGGGGGTGTCTCCTCTTCTGAGGTATCCAGGGCCCAGCTGACACCACCGCCATCCTGGGCAAGTAGGTCTGCCACAAGGACTGTCCGGGGCTTGGGTACAGGGGGCTGAGACTCAGTGTCCCCTTGGGGGAGGCCGTTCTCAGCTGGGGTCCTGTCCTGGGGATCCCTGGGCCCTGGAGGAGTGTGGGGCTCTACAGAGGGGCGGTTCTCCTGGCTCTGCTTCCACAGCTGGTGCTGGGTGCTGGCATGGGAGGTGTCGCGGATCTTGATACGGTTCATCTGACTGGGCTGCGGGTTCCAGATGTTAGGGTCGATGATGTTGATGTAGCCCAGGATGTCACTACCAGGCTCCGGGTCTGGCTCCACCCACGTGGGCAGGTACTCAAACATGTTGGCCCTCTCCAGGTTTTGTAGTCCTGGGTGGACAGGTGGTGGCAGGTCAGGGAGGTCCCCTGGCCGCTCAGGCAGCGCAGGGCCCCGCGGCCCTGGGGGTCTCTTGCTGTCCTGCTTCTCAGAGGAAGTCTTGGCAATCTCGTCGACACTCTTGGCCTTGACCAGTGCATACTTGGGGTTGACAAGCTTCTTGGCCACTGTGCCTGTGGGGGCCAAGGGGACCACAGAGGGCAGCACGATGGGCTCTGGCTCTGGCTCCTTCTCCATGGGGATGTCCTTGAGACTGACACTCTGTGACATGAGGTACAGCTCCTGGAACTGCCGGTCAAACATCTCTACCACTTGGCCGGACAGCACAGAGATCACATTCCGGTCAGTCCTTGCTGCCGACCACGTGAAGCTGCAACACAAAGCAGGGGCCATGCAGTCAGGCACGCAGCACCTCGGGCCCAAGGCCCCCATTTTAGCAAGTCTCCCGCCCCTGCTGCAGTGGGCATGTAGAGCCCACCATGTGCCCCTGGATGGTGTTCATTAGACTATGGCCACAGGACCCTGGGATCAAGATGTGGCATGGGAGGGCACAGAGAGTAGCACATATCTGTGGGGTTGGACCCGAATCTGGGAGCCCACACCTACCTCCCCGCAGCTCCGTGCTCCCTCAGACTGCTCCTGGCCCCATTAGGGCCCCTCAAGGGTGGCCAGTACAGCCTTGGGTATCAGGCATTGCTCCGCATGGGGTACCATTGCTGCTGGCTTTGCTGCCATCAATTCCCAGAGTGACTGTAGGCATCTCTGCCCTACTGTGTCTTGAGGGATGCAGCCTGCAGAGCTGGCCCTGTCCCCAAAGATGGTACTCAGAATGGTTTTGGGAGCCTGGCCTGGCTCCACCTCACCTCCAGGCCAGTGACACCACAGGCTGGAACAACAGTCTGCTGGAGCAAAAGCCCTCCCCTGCCTTCCTCCAGAGACAGATGGGCAGGCAGTTTGGGAACCAATGAACCGGAATAACCAGAGTTTCATTTATTGGGATTAAAGGCAGATAGCAGCTGGGAGCCACAGATGCCTCTTCACCAAGTCCCCATGGAGACTCACCTGTAGGAGCCGCACACAGCCCTGTCTCCATCCACAAACATGAACTTCTGAGCCAGGGCGCCCTTGAACTTGGTGGCTGACCGGGTGAAGAACTCAGTTCCCCCACTGCTGCGCACCCTGAGATTCTGTGTTGGGGGACAAAGAGGCAGGACTAGATACCACAGCAACTGACACAGGGGCCAGGGAAGGCTTGGGAGAGTGAAGACAAGGAAGAGGCTGCAAGGACTAGAGAAAGGGCCTGGGTGAGGGAAACCTGGGGTGGACGTGATGCTGCTCATGGGGGGGGTCTGGGCCAGGATGGTGAGAACTTTGGCCCCAAGAGTGTCCACAGAACATGATGGAGCAGGGAGAGATCTGCATGGCCAGCTCGGTGTGGGAAATGCAGTTGCTAGGGCATTGAATGGAAGGGTGATGTTTGAGAAGTCTGCGAACAGGTGGGGGATATACAGCTGGGAGAGGAGGGAGAGAAGTGGAGGGGTAGGAAGGGGCCCTCCCTGAGGAATATGGGCCTTGCACTCTGACAATCCCTGGCCTTCCAGGATGAGGTGACTGCCCAGGCCTCTCTTCTGCTCAACACCCTGTGTCATTGTCCTTGTGAACTGTGCTCCCTGAGAGCAGGACTCAGCATCTCTACTACTTCCCCAGGCCAGGACCAGGACACCACCAACACCATGATAGGCTCAGGACACAACCAGGAAGGCCCTGGGAGTCCCTGGATGCAAACTTAGTCCCAGAGAGGAGGGGGACTCTCCTAGGCCTGAGGAACAGGGAGGGGTCCACAACTGCAGGCTTTTTCCTGGACCTGTGAGGGCCCCCCTCCCCAGTGCCAAGTCTCTGGAACTGTCCGAAGGCCTGGGCACTACAGGGCTCCAGTGCAAACCCTCCTCCCCTCAGCAAGCCAGGACTGGCCCAGCAGAACCAGGAGGGTACCCAGACATCCAAGAATGGCTAAGGCTCTCAAAGTGGAACCTCAGGTGGAGGGGGGACCTGGAGCTCATCAGGTCCTGGGTATCCCTAATTCTACAGGCCTGTGATCAGGCCAGGAACTTCAGTTTTAACACAAAACCCAGGGACTCTGTCACCTTCCCACGGCAGGAAGGGTTTGAGAGCATCCTGACAAGTAGGCTTGCACGGTTCCTGTTCTGGGAACCTCACACCCTCAGGGACTCTGTGGTGGTCGGACCTCTAAGGTAACACATGCTTTGTCAGACTGAGCTGTGACTTACCCATCTGTCCTCTCACCCACTCACTGGCTCCCGCCTATTAACTGCCCACAAGTTCACTTGTTCACTGACCCCCACTGTGGCCACCACTGGCAGACAGATGTGACAGTGACCAGGATCCCTCCATGGAGACAAGGAAGGAAAGACATGGCATAAACAGAATTGGGAATGTCCAGACATGGAGGAGTAACTCTAGGGGTGGGTGGCTAGGGGAGGCTCCCAGGAAAGGATGACGCAGGTGAGAGTGGGAAGAGGGCAAAGCCCTCCGGGCGGAGGGGTACAAAGGCCTGGCATGAGAGGAACAGGCTGTTTAAGAAACAGCATCAGGGAGGAGCAGTTGGGGGGCAAGGGAGTTGGCCAAGTGGGCTGAGCCAGATGCTGATGAAAGACCCTACACCTGCTTGGGGCCTGGACTTGGCCAGGTACGAGTGGGAGCCATGGGAACACACAGGGCAGAGTGTGAGATGCAGCTGTTGGTCAGGAACAGCTCTGGCATGGGGAGTGGGGCACGATGTGTGAAATGAACAGGGAGCTAGAAGGTAGAGAAAGAGAGGCTATTGGGTGAGGGAGGTGGGCCTGAAAACAAGAGCACCATCCCCTGAAGTAACGCTCTCTGTGCTCCCGTCTGCATCCCGGTTCCCTGTGGCTGGGGCAGCCCTAGGGCAGTACCCTCAGAGGCTATAAGGGGTAGCCCCTGCGTGGGTCCCCACAAGATGCCCACCCACCCAGCCATGGGGCGAACAATCACCTTGCTGTTGGGCCTGGCCCAGAAGGCAGATAAGCCTCGTTCCCAGGGCCCTGAAGGCTGCTGTCAGCACATAGCCAGCTCAACAGGAAGCTGGCCCCGGTCCAAGGCAATTAGTTCTTGTGACTTTGTACCCAACACAGAGCACGCTCAGGGACCAGAGGTCAAAACAAAGATCTTGGAGGCCTTCTCCTAAGGCCTGTGCTCAACCACAGCCTGGCTCTAGTCTCCTGCGGTCCCCCAGCCCAAGGCTGTGTGCTGGGGCCCTGTGTCCCTCCTTGGCCATCTGTCTCCACACCTCTCACGAGCGTCTGTCCCCACCCATCAACCTTGTCGTGACAAATGACTCAGAAAGTCACCACTTACACCGCAGAGTGACTCAGCCGCCACATGAGAGGCAGATCTTGGTTGGTCCACTCACCTGCTGTGTGACTCTGCAAGCCCCTGACCTTCTCTGGGGTAGTTTCCCTGTCTGCACTCTGAGGCTTGGGCCTGAACCCCAAGGCTCATCTAACACTGGGGCTCAATGGAAGTGGGAGCATGCATTGGGCCCCCCACCCTCTGCCTCACAGTCTGTCCCTGGCCTGCTCCTGGGTGGCCCCGCCCCATAGGCCTGGCCCAGATGAGGTAACGTCTCAGGTGTCTGGGCTAGTGTGAGCAGAGGTGGAGGATCCCACAAAGCTGCATTGTCTCAGGTCCTGGGGACGCCCCAGCCGAGGATGGGCAGATGGGTGGAGGGACACTGGGCTGGCCCAAGTGTGAGCATTGGGCAAGTCCCTGGACCCTCTGAGACCTCCAAAGGTCAAGGGCAAGCCAGGGAAGGGTGAGGAGCACCACAGCTGGGGCAAACTGCAGGACCCTAAGGCCTCCAGGCCACCTGTGCTCATAAGACCCCATGACCTGAGTGAAGCCAGAACCCTCTCAATAGGTGCGTGTAGGCCATTCTTGGGCTCTGATCAAAAACAGCTCCAGTCCTGGTGCCAAACAGACTCTGCCCAGGCCTCTCCATGCCTCAGTTTCTCACCTGGGCTACAGGCTTCCTGAGGACCCAGTGGAGTGCAAGGGTCCTAGAAGGTGCCTGACTCTCAGTGGAGACCCAAGAACTCTAGGTGGCACATGGACTGTGACTGTACAGTCTGGTGAGAGACTAACATGGGGTCCAGAAAACACCTGGGCTGGCAGGGACCCCCTTCAGGGAAACCAGAACTGTTGGCCACACTGGGTAGATGACTGGGTGGGCTTGTAGAGGGTTGTGATTTGGCCATGGTCTCTCAGTGAGTGGGGCCCAGCCTAGATCCGAGGACTGTGGCTGAGGTTTTCAGCTGTCCACCCTCTGCAGGAGACTGTCAGCCTCTCCTGGTCTAGAGGAGGGGTGGGGAGGCCCAAAGGTACATCCTGGCCAGGGCTGAGCTGGGAATGGAGGGGTCGGGCCGAGTGTGTGGAATGCAGGGTAAGGAGCCTGGTGTAGGAAGTGGGAGCCCATATACCTGAACTGCTGGGCCACCTCAGCTCTCTTCTGAATGGCCTATCTCACTCTATAAAGCATGTGCGTGTGGACATTCACCCCGGCCGTCATGAAACCAGGATGGGAAGTTCCTTGTGAACCAACTTCATATGCTGGGGGATGGGGACAGAAAGGGCTCCACCTGGAGCCACTCTAGCTCCAAGCCCTTGTTTGAGGGTTCCCAGGCTGCTCAGTTGTAGCAGGACTGATGATATGGGTTAGGTCACTGTGGTGGGGCCACCCTGACACTGAAAGATAGGTAACAATGTCCTTGCCTCTACCCACTAGTTAACTACCTATAGTGCCCTGATTTGTGACAAAAACATCCCTGGCCAGGCTTGGTGGTATACACCTGTAATCCCAACTACTTGGGAGGCAGAGGTAAGAGGATCATGGTCCAAGGCTGTCCTAGGCAAAAGCACAAGACCCTGTTTGAAGAATAACAAAGCAAAAAGGACTGGAGACATGGCTCAAGTGGCAGAGCACCTACCTAGGAAACACAAGGTCCTGAGTTCAAACCCCAGTACAACCAAAACAAAAAAACATCTCTGGGCACTGCCTTTAGCAAGGTGAGCCCTCCTCACCCCTGGGTTACAAATCCTTGCCCTATAACCTGGATCCATCAGAGACCCAGGCCCAGGCCACAAGCATGGTGGGGAGTAGAGGGAGCCATGGACCAGCCTGCCTCCCACATTAGACTTGTCCCCTGGGTCCCCAGCTCACTTGGGCCTCCCCATCTCTCCTCTAGCCCAGGAGAGCCTGGTAGGCCTGGCAGCCAGGGCCTGGGCTGCAGCTGAGCCTGGCATCCTCACCATGTGCCTTCCCATGAGTCCACTACCATTCCTTTGTTCATCAGAAACGGACTGGGAACAGCCAGCCCAAATGCCTGCTGGTTTTTCCAGTTTGCCTATGCAGTCTGGGCTTTTCACATTTGCCAGCCTCCTACAGCTCCTGTTCTAGGGGAACCATGAGTTTCATCCCCAACATGGCTCCCACTGACTCTGGGGCACCCCTCACACCAAGATCACCCCCAAATGAGGCCTCGTCACTGGCCTGGCCCTGTGATCCTGTGGGGGCTGAAAGGCTGGTTACTCTTCCCAAGGCCTGCTCCCCATTTGTAATATGGGGGTTCATTCCCCTACTCCTGCCTGTAGGGCATTGGGGGCAACTGGGCCGGTAGGCTGGAATGCTCATGGTGGTTGGGGCCCACGTCTGGGGAGAGGCTGGGCACCTGACTTCCCTTCACCTGGAGACAGGAGCAAAGTTGGCCAAGCATTAACAGCCCCACTTTCAGAATGTGTTGGTGCAGACTCAGAGCTACAGAGGTGGGAAGAGAGCAAGGGTGGTCCAGCCAGACTCCAGCTACCAGTCACCAAATAGGACAGGAAGGGGCTTGCTCCCAAGGCCCTCCCCATCATGCCTCCTTCACTCTGAGCAGCAGCCCTGCTACACAGATGACATTGTGCCCAGTTTTGAGATAAGCAATGGAGGCTCAGAAAGAGTCGATGACTGTCCAAGATTACTGTGCAAGGCTAAGGCTCAGGCCTGACCTTTGGTGTCTCCTCAAACTGACACATGACACACCCAAGTTCACAAACACGACTACCAGGTGCAACCTGTACTGTGGGCCTCATGGATCCAGGGGGCAAGTTGGTGCAGGGACGGGCAAGGGCAGGCCCACCAATTACTGCACAGGAAGTGCTCCTGAGACAGGTCCGGGCCCAGCCAGCCCGTGGGCAGAGATTCTGGCCAGGTTCTCCACAAGGTGACATCTGGCCAGGGAGGAGAGGTAGGCCAGCACAAGGCAAGAATAAAGAATACAGGGTCACACTTTCCCATGAAGGTGTCTGGCTCCTGGGTATGTCACCCTGAGACCTGGCCACCTTCCCGGAGAGGGAGGCAACCAAGAGGGGCAGGCTGAGCCAGGGTCTTTGGTGCCAGCTGCCCTCCCTTCCCCTACTCTGATGGTCATGAGGCAGCTGTAGGGCTGGTGGTGGGTGTGGAAGGCCTCACACCCAGGCCCTTGCCTAGGCCGCAGGCCTGCGGTTTATGATTTATTGTTACTGCCAGCAGCTGCAGAATTGTGCTTGGCTCGCAGAGTGCTTTAACAACCCCCATCCTTTAATTTCACCCACAAGCAAACCTATGTGAGGCACTGGAGATCCACAGGGGTGGAGCCACACGCCGAAGTCCCACAGTGGGTTATTGGCAGCCCCAGGGCATTCTGAGGTACAGGGTCTGTGCCCTCCTTGCCAAAGCCCATTTCTCACTGCTGGCTTTTAGGTTCAACCCCTGACTTGGCAGGATGTTTGGGCAAGTAACACCTCTCAGACCTCAGTTTCCCCACCTGTCCTATGGGAGCCTAGTCCAGGTGGCTCAGTACTCCTCAGGAAGACATGGGTAGGGAGTCAGGTAGGGAGTTTTGAAGCCACCCCTGCCATTTCCCACCCACCTCCCACTTCTGAAAACTCAGAAAACTCCAGGCCAGAGGGGCAGGCCCTGAAGGGGAAGGGCTGAGGCCTCTGGAGTGGCCAGCCTTGGGTCAGGATGCCCCAGAACACACAGGCCCACACCCTGCACCTGCATCTCACCCCGGGGGACAATTGGGCTGAGTGACACAATGCGTAAAGCTCCTGGTGGGCATGTGGCAGATCCAGAAGTGTGGTGGCCCCTGCAGAGCACCCTACTGCCGTCCACAGAGCAGTCAAGTTCTTAAAGTTGCCTTTTCCACTCTGGCATGAGCTGTCTGCCACTGGAGCCGATTCCAGTGGCTAATTACATGATGGCAAGTGAGCATGGGGTCAACTCTCCAGGGAGACCACATGAAAATGTCCCCGAAATTAAAGACTTGCAGAGAGAACTTGCACCCACTTGAAAGGATTCAGCTGGGGGAAGTGGAGCTTGACAAATGCCGACAAATTACAGGCGCAGAGCCAGCCCAGCCCTCGTTAACTAGCCCAGCGTTGCCCCTTTTGGGATCTGTGTTCCAATCACGGGCCTGCAGCTCAGGAAACTGGGACCTAGTGGAGTGTGGTGCTGACCTCAAGGAGCCTAGGGATGGCTGTCTACTCCCTCGTCTCTAACCTCCTGGCAGTTACATCTGGGCCCATGCCTCTACTTCCCCATCTGTAGGATGGGTTGTCAGCAGAAAGTGCCTTGGAGGGGGCCTGGCCCATGTCCCACAACGGAGAAGCAGAAGCTGTCTCTGCACACTGAGCTGCTCTCAGGGAAATGCTCTGCAGCAGTGGCTGAGCAAGGGCTGAGTGGAAGGAGGGCTCTCCTTGCCCCCAAGCCAGGTGCCAAATGCCAGTGTCTGAATGGAACGGCCCAGCCACAGACTCTCTGCCCCTCCGGAGGACCAATGGGATCCTGGAACTCAGAAAGGGAGATGATGAGCTCAAGGACACACAGCAAAGCAGTGCTGAGAACCCAAGCCAACCCAGACTATGCAAAGCCTCTCCTCTCCAACTCTGTTCCGTGTCCCCGTCCTGAAGACCCATCTATTCTGCTGGTGCCTCTTAAGTCCACATTAGCTCTGACCTTGGCCTTGCGGAGCTTCCTCTGGCTGAGCCAGATTCTTGTACTCACAGGTGGCTATCCTAAGGAGACAGGTGTGGGTTTAACCCAAGAAAGCCCTTCCAGGGTCAGAGCTGCCCTAATGGGCAGGAGCTGCCTAAGGAGGTGGTGAGCATACGCCGGTCACCAGAGGTATGCAGGCAGACAGGTAACCTGTGCGGCCTGGGCTCTGAAATAACACGTGATGCTGTACTTGGCACAAGCTCCGGCACCTGGTGGGTACGCACTCCATCCACGTGTATCTTATCTGCTTGTTGCAGGGAGTATCCTGTCCCTCGGGCACTCAAGTTATGTGACCACTTGGCAGGAGGCTAGAGAATCACTGAACTCTGTGTGCCCCGACAGGGCTCTGTCCACAATAGGCAGGTACTCATAAACTGCTGACTGACTAAATGATCCCTGCAAGTGAACAGCCAGCTCACCTTGAGGTGCCCCAGGTGCATGCAGGCCCGCTCACACATGTGCAGGAAGTACTTGACATTACTCTCGTCCACAATGATGTACACGGCCACTTTCCTCTTGAAGCCAGCGTCCAGCAAGTCCTTGAAGATGTCCACATCAGTGAACGTGTCCATCACCACAGCTATCACCTGGAAGCAGAGAGGGACCAGGTCATGAGTCACTGCAGCAGTGGAGACGAGCGCCTCTGCAGGATACACGCCCCTCCCAGTCACCCCCTTGAGGGTACCCACACTAGTTCCACCCCCATAGCCTCAGGACTGGGCCTGGGTCTGCCGAGGGCCAGCATTCAGTCAGTGCCTCAGGCTGGACTTGCCAGGGCAGCAGGGGACAGAAAGCACGCACAGGCGCCTGTCTGTTGTTCCTGTAACACAGACTGTGGAAAACACAGCCCAGCTGACCAGCAGTGAGGAAGGTAAAAAGAGTGGGACGGCACCGGGAGAGCAGGGGGCCCACAGGCTGCTTGGAAAAAGTTATTCTGCCAAGGTCAGCAGTCAGGAAAGTCTGTGGGCTGAGGTTCTGCAGTGTCCCAACTGGCCACTAGGGCCTTCTTCCTCACCCATGTGGGGACCCTGGGCCCAATGAGGGGCTCAGCCCATGGATTCTCTGCTGGTCCATTTCTGAGCCAGAGCCAGCTACGCAGTGCCCTCTTCCCGGTGCCGACCGATGCTGAGCGTCAGTAATCAGGAAAAAGGACAGCGGCTGGCACGATCATTCCCTGGTCCCTGTGCTGTGGTGGATTTTGGCCAGCCTCTTGCTGCCATCACTCCTGTCTGGTCTGGACAGAGCCCACATCAGCACATGTGCTCTTCTTGTCACCTGACACCTGTTTCCATCACAGGTGATCTTCACTGTCCTGGATCTAGTTCAGGGTGGGGCCCTAGAGGTCAAAAAGTGCATCTACCCACCTCCAGCCTGGCCCAGCTCAATCATCTTCCTTGGCTTCCTGGGCCAGGCAGACAAGTGAAGACTAGGGCAAGGCAGGCCATGGACAGAACTGGGGGTGCAGGCCTGGCACTGGGCCTTTCATCCCCTCAGCTCCTCCCTGGCCACCAGGCAGCACAGGGCAGTGGTCAGATCAGGCTGTGCCAGCCATCACAGCCACCCAGTTCTCTAGACTTTGCAGGGGGTCCCTCTGCCCCTGGGAATGTGTGCACAGGGAAACTGTACAGAGACACCAGGGGCTGGCTCCAGCCCATGCAGCAAGCTGGGATGGCTGGGCTGGGACCTACCCAGGCCAGGGAGCCAAGCTCATCCCCTCCACTGTGATGCCTGACAGCTCCCTTCTCTGGGATGCATGCACACAGGGTGACAGAAGGCTGCCTGGAGCCTGCTGGGGACGTGTCTGCACACCCACAGTGAGCTCACCAGGCTGGCCACTGCAGGCCCATCTGGACTCCTCCCAGGCCTCAGGCCCTTGCTGACGCCTGCTGCTCATCTGGCACCAAAACCAAAACTCCAGCACAAAAGGGTGCCAGGCCTGCCCTGCCACGGACCTGCTGTGTGACCCTGAGCAAAACCTCTCTAGGCCTAGTTTTCTCATCAGCACCACAGGCTCCATCTCTCAAGGCAAGCACATTATTCTGATCCAGCAATGCATGTGAAAGACCCCAACCTGAAGGAGGTCCTCAGGGACGCCCATGTGCTGCCTTCTTCCCACCACCAGCCTCGCAAGTGGTCCTCTCAGCACCCACCCTATCCTCACACAAGCACCGTGGTGGTGATTCCAGCACGCAGCCAGGCAAACTGAGGCTCAGAGAGGTCCTGAGGCTCGCTGGAGGTGATGAAGCAAGCCAGCTCAAGGCTGGTCTCCTGCCCTGTACCTTGGAAGCATGGTCTTGGGGGCCTGGAAGGTACTGGTCCTCCCAGAGTAGAGATGCAGGACCCACCAGAGAGAGCTCCATGGGGACTGAGGCCTAGGATCCATGTCCTCTGAGGAATAGGTACTCACTGTTTCTGAGTCTGAGGGGATGTTTGGGGGCAAAGGGGGTGCAGAGTGGGACTGGAGTCAGCAGGGTAAGCCAAAGGATGTGATGTTGGTGTTAGATGAGGAAATGGTGACTGCAGCACCCCCAGCTGTCAGAGGCTGGGCAGAAGTCTTGAGGGAAGGAAGAAGCACTCTGATCCAGGACATGTTCAAGCAAAGCCCAGAGATTGCTCGGGTAGATGGCAGGCAAGGGAGGGAGCAGGGAGACACAATGTCTGCTGGGTGGGCTTCTTGGATCTCACCACAAGCTGAGGGTGATGGACTCCTAAATTGGTGGTGGGTGGCAGCAGGGACCTCCTTGCCTGGGATCTCACAGACCCCAAGTCACTCCAGTCCTGCAGCCCCCTTGGACAGCCATTAATGGGGAGACAATCAGCCTCACATGCTGCCCTGGAAAGGGGCTGAATCAGGGCACAGCCAACACGCCTCTGCATGGAGGTGCACCAGCCCCTTCCCAGCCCTGGATCTGTCATGGATGGTTTCAGGCTGGCAGTTGGGATTTGCCCTGGGCTTTGGCTGGGGACGTGCCCCAGCAGGACCTGCACCATGTGCACTTGCTCGCCAAGGGCTGCTGTCCTCAGCCAGGCAGGGTGTCTGATCCAGGGATTGTCTGCTGCCAGGTTAGATCCGTGGATGCCTGCTCGCCGGGATGGATGAGTAGCGGGGGCCGGTGGCTGAGGGCTGGCTCTCCCCAGGCATTGGGGTCAGTATCTGGGGGTAGTCAGAGGACTTACAACAGGCTCTGGCTGATGCTGGGACAGGAGGCATTGTCTGGGGCTCCCCAGCAGTCCCCACAGCTTGGCTGTCCACATTCAGGCACCAAAGGTTCCTTGGAGGCCCTTGAGACCTGTCATGCCCTGCTGACTTTGTAGAGGAGAAAGCTGGGAACAGTCAGTGACAGAAACTGGAACCAGGGTCAAGCACCCCATCCCCAAACTATGTGCTTAAAGACTGGGCCAGTCCCCAGCCCTTGTGCTGTCTGAGGGTTGACACCTGTTATCTTGTGTGGTCCTCATAAGCAGCGGTTCCTTCTCCCATTTTACACATGAGGAAACTGAGGCACAGTGGTATCACTTCCTGGCCTAATCACCTGTTTGGTCATCCCAGTTCACCTGTGACAGTGTGAGCTCATCAGGGGTAGAGCCCATCATGGTGCCTGGCTGGGGGTGGGAGAGGGGTGTCTCAGGAAGATTCTATCAACAGAGGACAAGACCAGGCAGCTTGGCCCAGGAGCGACTGCAGCAACCAAGGCCCGGCATAAGTCACAGCCCTCCTGGCCCCTCAGTTTCCCCATCCGCCAAATGGGAGTGTGGGGATGGCTGCCCACAGAGCTGGGCCTGCAGAGAGGAGAGCACCAGGTACCTCCCACGCCTCAGCCTGAGCCCAGCAAGGGCAGCAGCCCCAGCGCCTTCAGCTCTAGCCAGGGCTGTGACCTGTGTCCCCTCTCTAGGATGGACAAGATGTCCAAGACCTGTTTTCTCTGATGTAGTTGCTGAAGCACCCTGCCTCGCTGTGCCCTTGCGTTCTGCCCAGGGCCCAGTGAGGCCTGTCTAGGCCAGCTAGAGCACATCACCACACCCATAGGCCTGGAGAGGAAGCGCTGGTGGCCACTCCACTTCCAGCACCACAACAGGCTCCTGCCCTGCCAGGTGCCAACACCAGCCCACAGCTCCCAGCACCCACAACAGCTGTTTTCTAGCTGTTTCCTGTGCCCACAGATTCCACTTGATACAGCAAAAGTGTCCTCAGAGTGAGTGGGTGGACAGGTCTCCTGGAAGTGCCAGGGAGGAAAGACAGGTGAGACAGCTGGCTGGTCTGTTACCGCTAGAGAACTGTTGTTGTAGCCCCAGCTTCTGCAGCAGCGTGTCTCCTGGGGTCCCGAACTCACTGCCCCCTCTCCCCAAAACTTCCTATTTCAACCCACCAGCTCTCTATACAGGCTGCCTCCTGGTGGGCTGCTTGCTGATTTTGTGTCTACCTAAACAACTCCTATCCATCCTTCAAAACCCAACTCAAGTACTACCCCTGGCTCCTCTCTATCATTACTCTGGCTTATCTGGCTTAAACATGCATCATTTGTGCATTTCTGAAAATGCCATGGTGACAAGTCCTTTAGGCCTGGATCCTGAGATGGAATCAGAGGGACAGTTTCCAGCCTGCATGTGACAAGCCCTCTGCCACGACCCCACCTGACTCACTCTCAAAGACCTCAGACTCCTGGGGCTGCTCAGAGAGCCAGCTGAGATCTTTCTGCAAACTGTTCCAGAGGAGCAGGACAGATACACACCCCAGTGCTCCCTGGGCCTGGAGCCCTGGAGTGGCCTCAACATAGTACAGTACACAGTGCTACAGACAGAAGGTGTGGCAGGGGAGGGCTCTGTCATTCTTAGCTATGATGGCAGACGCCCAGGCAGTGACGGTGTGGGCCCTGGACCATCTGGCTCCCAGCCTACCTCTTCCTGGGAAGTCAGTGACGTCAGGCAAGTACCTCCACTTCTCATGGGGATCATAACAATCCCCACACTCCCCGCACAGGGCTGCTGGAGGACAGTGATAAAGCCCTCACAGGACACATAGGAGGCAGCCACACTCACCCTGCTCCTCACCCACCAACTTGAGTCCTGCTGCACCAGACCCATTCTACCTGTGGTCAGACAGACCAGAAATGGTCACCACCCGTCTCCCACTTCTGTCTGGCCAGCTGGAAAGCTGAGGAAGACAGTGGCTGACATCCAGGGGAACAGAATGAGGAATACTGATCTTCAAGGTTGGGGTCATGGCCATGAAGATCTGGAGCTTAACTTCTACTCTTAGCCATGATGGAAAAGTAGAGGCTGAATCCATACAGCTACCTTAGTAATAAAAAAATTCCTACAAGCCAGGTGCTGTTGGCTCACACCTGGGAGGCTGAGATCAGAAGGATCATGGTTTGAGGCCAGCCAGGGAAATTCTCAAGAGACCCCACCTCAACCAATAATAGCTGGGTGTGGTAGTGTGCCTGTCATCCCAGGTTATACGGGAGGCTGAGCTCGGGAGGATTGCAGTTCCAGGCCAGCCCAGGCAAAAAATTTTGCAAGACCCCCATTCTCAACGAAAACAGCTGGGTGTGGCACATGCCTTGTCATTCCAGCAATGGCAGGAAGT